ATGGCCCGGCCCCGGGTGTCAGGGCCCCTCAGCGCGTGAGGACTCGACCAGCACCTCGGCTGCCCGTCGGACGCGGGGAGCCCAAGGGGAGGTCTCGTCACAAGTGCCCAGAAGGCCGGCTGAGAGAACAGAGCCCAGAGTCCACGGGGGTGGGGTGGGGGTGCACATGCAGGAGGCCGCGAGGGCCCGGCCACCACGGGCAGCGGGAGCCCCAGGAGCACGAGGGAGCGCAGCGAAGCGAGGGAGCCGCACGGGGTGGATGGAAGAGAAATGGCAGGAGCAGCAGCTCTACCTGCTGGGTCGCTACTGAGGGGCAGGAAGACAATGAACAGAGCTCACGACCCTGGACAGAGGTGGCGGCTCCCCCCCAGGGCATGCTGGGAGAAGCCCCCCGTCCTGGGCGGGCAGGCCTCCCTCCCAGCGGGGAGGAGGGCCCGGCTCCTACCTCCCACTGTTAGCACTCGAAGTCGCTCCTGGAAAACGGCCAGGTCTGAGAGCAGGGGAGCAAGGGGCAGGGGGCGCGGGAGGAAAAAGACAGGTGAGAGTTAGTCCAAAAACCACCCCCCCGCGCCGCGGCAGTGAGGGGACACAGAACACAGACAGACACAGACGTGGGGGGGGGGGAGGACAGGCAGGTAACAGGGTCGGGTCACCGGCTGCGGTCACTGGGGCTACTACCGTGGTCACCCACTGGCCTGAAGTGCAGGAGGGCCGGGGGCAGTGTCTGAGACCCCCGTCCCCTCCCACGGAAGCGACCGACAGGAGGCTCCTGGGGAGGAGTATGCCCGATCTGGACACTTCAGGAAGAGGAACGCAAAAGAGGAAGGACTCATTCCTCAGGCCTGAAGCCTCGGGCAGGACACTAGACTGGAACCCTCAGGATCCTGGCGGCTTCTGGGTGGGTCCGTGCGGCCCCTCGAGGCAGAACTGGGACCAAGGTGCTCAGCCTGAGGACACAACCCACGGCCCCGGGCTCGGGGGACAGGCAGACCACCCGTCTGCCGCACTGGCACTCTCCCGGCCGCCGTGAAAACCCCCCAGTCCCTTCTGCTCCGGACCCAGGCACCAGCGTGCATGGGCCTGGGGGGCGGCGAGGCGTCTGGTCACCGTGCGGTCACCGTGCCTGTGGCCACTCCTGCCCTGGGGGAAGTGCACAGAAGGCCAGCAACACTCCCCTGGACGCTGGTGCCGAGGACTGACTCAGGACGCAAGGACCCCGCTCTGACGGGGGGACGACGGCACCCGGCACAGGCCCAGGAGCCAGCAGCTCCGCCGCCCTGACCAGAAGGTGCGGATTCTGCACCCGCGGATGCTCTGAGGTGAGAGCAAGGACTGTGCTTATCCCCTCCACGCCTCAGAATCGAGACCAGCGCCGGGCCAGGAGCACTGGCGAACACGTCGTCCGTTCACGCCTGCAGCCAGTAGGGGGGTGGTCACGCCTGCTCGCTCCGGGCGTGGGGCAGGTGGGCACTTGGTCTTGCCCTGCACAGCAGCCCCCCTCGCCTGCAGCCCCAGCTGCCTGTGGCCAGCCACACCCGAACACATTCAACAAAAGTCCCCAGACACAAACAGCTCCTAAGTTCCCCACCGCACGCCGTCTGCAGCAGCGTGAAGGGATCTCGAGACACTGTTCACGGCCGCTGGTCACTCAGGGGCGTCTCGGTGACCAGAAAGGGCCCACATTCACACGACTCCTGTGACAGCATGCTATCACAGGCACTTGTCAGCCAGTGCTGACCCTCTCTCCCTGCGCCTGCAGGACGAGCTGCACCTGTCACAGGTGTGTGTACAGGAGAAAACAAGGCGTGCACAGGGCCTGCACACCTGGGGGTCACAGGATGTGCTCACAGATGAGAGGGCTCCTGTCCTTTTCCAGCTTTTGAAAGATGAAACACAAACGACAGACACAAACCGGAGGAAAGCAAAGGAAGACACTCTGCCTGTCGCTGGGGAGAGCACCTGGACTCGGTGGCACGTGTGGCCCAGCCGCACACAGGGGCCTCTGCTGCCCATCGGGGGCGGGGCTGGTGCCAGGCCTGCCTGCCACCCGTCTGCCAGCTCCCGGGCGTCCAGGAGGGAGGCAGCCTGCGGGGACGCGCCCGCCAGGCCGGAGGGAGCCCAGCCCCAGCCCCCACCCACCGCAGCCAGGAGGGGCTGGGGGCCCTGCTCGCCAGGCGAGAGCCGACCGCACCCCGCGCCCCGCCCCGCTCCTCGTCCCGGCCGTCAAGGGAGGCCCGGGGACGAGCACCCCCCCCCCCCCCGCCCCGGTAAGCAGCTGACTGCCCCCAAGGCTGCCCTCTCCCAACCCGCTCTCTCGAGCGGCTCGGCCCCAGCCCGTGCAGCCTGACCTCACGGGAGGGTCAGGCTCCCGCTCTGCACGAGTGCGCGTCCCCGTCGCAGCGCCTCGCTCTGTCACTGAGAGCAGCGGGCTGGGGCTTCCGCACAGACACCGCCGCAGGCGGCACTCTCACGCCGCAGCTGGACGCGAGCGTTGTTGCACTTGGGGAGGAGACGGAGGGCGGGGTGCAGGGGCCGTCTCCAGGCCCCAGACTAGGCGGGCGGCCCAGGGTGGCCGGATGGTCAGCGCCAGCGCGTGGGGCTGCACGGGGCAGGCCGAGCTCCTGCTGGGAGCTGGGTGCCCGCCTGGCCCTTCCCATCAGGGGCTGCACTGACCTGTCCTTAGGGCGCCCGGGGGCTCACGGGAGAGCTCCAAGCCTCCTTTGGGAGGGTGGGGTGGGCAGGACCCCCCACAATCACGTTCTGAGGTAGGGCACTGCTAGTCAGCTCCGCAGGTGCAGAGCCCTGATGTCCCCCCCAGCCCTGGGAGCACCCAGGAGGCTCGCGACCACCCAGCCTGTGGGTGGCCCATCTGGCCACCTGACTCAGGCCGGGGGGATTTCTAGGCCGGCCTGTCCCAGCCTTCTCCCAGTCAGGCAGGAAGCATCAAGAACTCGGCGAGAAGCATCCGCACGGTCCACTATAAGAAACCCGGAGTGGACCGCTGGCTGCTCTCACCAGCCCTGCGCTTCTCCAGCGGCAGAGAATCCCCTGGAACGTGGGGACGTGTCACCCAGGCCCCGTTTCCCCGCAGGCTGAGAAGCCCCAGGGGGCGTGGCAGCGACTGAGGACACCAGCCACTCACTCACTCGCCCCGGACCCACAACCGGGCACGCTGCTGCACACAGTGACACCCTGTCCTCGGGGCTCCCTCGGGGGGGCCTGGGCCTCCACCCACCCCTGTGCAGCCTGGGACCATCACTCATCTTCCGACGGTCTCCACCAGAGGGCCACTAGCCCCTGCCCGGACTGCGCCGACGGTGCGCCCCAAGCTCTGTCCTGAAACAACCCAGCAGGTGAGGAGACAGGCACCCAGCAGACCCCGGCCTGGGGGTCGGAGGAGCCGGGGGCACACTCGGCGGGGAGCTGCGTGCGCAGGGCTGTGGACGGAAAGGCTGTGCTGGACCCCCGTGTTCCGGGCCCGCACACGTCCAGGCTGAGACGACTCAACACCACCTTCCCTGCAGACGGGCGTGTGCCCAGTCTGCGCCATCCCTGCTGCTGCACCTGCTGCTGCAGAGGGAACCCGCCGTGACTGGTGCGTCACGTGACTTCAGATTCTACAGAGGGGAGAGGGCTCCCCAACTTCCTCTGAGTGGTTCTGAGGGCTCCTGGCCGGAGGAAGCAGCACCCCTGGTTCATGAAGTTCGTCCTCACCGTGGGACGCTCTGTCGGGCGGGGCGGGGTCGCCATTCCCGGGGAGACGGGAGGCAAGGCCGCCATGGCCCGCAGCACAGAGGCCCTGCCGGGCGCCCCGACGAGAGCTGGGAGCGGAGGGGCGGGAGGGCCCCAGGCCTGACCTCGCACCCTCCTCACTCACCCAAGCCCGTGGGGTGTGGCCCGGCCCTACCTGACCAGAGTCGGGGCACAGGAGAGCTCTGGGCTCCCCGCGCAGCTCTAACGAGCGCTGACAGCCACTCAAAACAGGCCCACTTGGATGCTACGAAACTGGCACCCCGGGTGCAGGGACCCCTCTTCCTGTGCACCCGTCCTGCTCTGTGGGAAGGATCGGCCGTGTCCCACACCGGTCCTCTCCTGGGAGTGCTCACGGAGCCCGGACTCGGCCCCCACCCCCCGAGGCCTGAGCCCACTTGACCAGTCAGGAGGCCGCAGTGCAGAGCGAGCCCTGCGTCACCGGGGCCTGTTCCCGAAACGAAGACAGGGCAGGGACGAGCCCGCACACCAGGGCCAGAGCCCGTGCCCAGCCTCACCGACCAGCGCCCGACTTACACACGGGGGGCAGGTTAGGCCCCCTCACTCGGGGGAGGGGATCGTTAGGCGGGGAGGGAATCGTCAGTCTCGTTAGCATGCAGCGTTTCCGTGAAATTCGCCCATTTCGGAATTAGTCACGCCATCATTGGTTGAGCGTGGGTTAGCAGCACGGTGACTTAGAGCGGATTAACTGGAGAAGCCACTGCAGGTGTGAGCCCAGCCGCGCCCTGCCCAGCACGGCAGCACCGAGGGGTACGCCTGAGGACGGCCCGGGCACCTCCCACGCGCCGGCCTGCACCCCGGGGCGCCTTCCGAAGTTTCCTCGGTTTGATCACCGGCAGCTGAGAATCGAGACCCCAGCTGCACACCCCACTGTGAAGCTGGCCCTGCCGGAGGCGGGCCCGCCGTGCTGGGGAGCACAGAGCACCTCGGTCCGGGACCTGAGGCCAGAGGAGCGAGTCTCCGACTGTCCACCTGCGTGGGTGGGTCGTCCTTTTCCGCCCCAAATTTTACTTCCCAGCTTGAGACTTAATCGAGCTCCTACAAACAAGCTGAAAAGCCGGGATGAAAATAACCTGCCCCCCAACACACGGAGGCGGCGGCCTGCCCGGCAAATGTCCAGTGATCAGAGCGAAGGAAACTTGAGAGCCTCCCCTCCCACCTGGGGCGTCTGCGGCCGCAGGCTGGGACGCGGGCGCTCCGCAGCGCGCCGGCCGCTCTCAGACCCTCACCAAGTTTGTCTGTGGACGAGATAATGTCAGCGGGCACGGAGGAGTCCAGATCGGCATCCAAGATCCCCAGGGGGTCCAGCTGCGCTACATGGTGCCCTCGTATCTACGGAAGGGCCGGCGGTGGGCGGGGAGGGACACACACAAAAGGACAGGAGAAAAAAAAGAGGGAAGGGGCAAAAAAAAGTAAAATTACATTAAAATGAGCATTTACAGGTTAATCCTCACCCACGTTTGAAGAAACAGTTACTGGAGCATCATCAAAATTTACACAACTAATTCCGAGAGGATCAAGTTTTGCAATGTGGTGACCCCTGACCTGGAAGCAATAACACAAGCAGCGGTTAAGCAGGTCCCGGGCTGTGGGGTAAAAGTCATACGTGGTCAAATCTTCCCTGACAGCAGTGAACCCAAGTATCAAGACTACTCGTCAACGCCCGAGCACAGGTGACGGTCCAGGCACCACGGTGTGCAAAGGCGCTTTCAGAGACGGGGGCCGACTCTTGGTGGGGGAGCCCGGGTGTCTGAAAGGGCCCACTTCTTGGGATCCTTGGCTTCCCTGGATACAGGGAAACGGGCTCTGCTGGGGACTGTCACCCCCATATGACGCTGGCTGAGCCAAGAAGAGGCCAAGGTCCCCGCGGAGGAAGGGACTCCAGCACTGGGCAGGGGCAGGGGTGGGGTGCGGTCAGCCCTGGGGCCCCACCCATCCCTGCCGGCCAGGGCACTTTGGGGTCCGACCTGAACTGCCTGGAAACCGGAGAAAGAAAAGGCCCTCAAGCCTGTCCCCTCAGGCACGGGCACGCCACCCCACTGGCAGCAGCTGCGGCTGTGCCTGCTGCCCACGGCCGCCCCTGCGCCACCCTCGCCCCCTGGGGACAGAACGGCGCCCCTGCCGCACTGCAGCGACGGGAGAGGCCCAGGCCCCAGGGGCTCCCCGAGACCTCTGCCCCTGGGCCAAGCACCCGGTCTGGGCTCGGAGAAAGGCCCCGCACCCAGTCTCCAGCTGGCTGACGGCACACTGGAATCCCCTCCCCTGCCTCTGCTCCTGCGGGCGGGCGGGCTGCTCCCAGACCCTGCGGTTCACTCCCACCTACTGTGTGTGGGTGCTAGCGGCTGGCTCGGGGACAGCACTCCCTCCTGCCCAGCACTGCCCCTGCCCATGGGTCTTTCCTGTAAACCGCAGGAACAAATAAAGGGCTCTTTCCGGGGCAGTTGGAGTGGCAGAGGACAGGCCTCGAGGCTGGCCGTCCCGGCCCCTCTCCTCTCCTCCCAGACCCCAGGGCGGGGGACAGCGCCCAGTGTCTGCGGGAGTAGGGGCACCCCCTTACCTGGTAGGCCCTGATGAGAGACTGCACCGCCAGGTGGTCCTCCACCAGCTTGTCCACGTTGGGCTGGGCGGCCACCAGGGGCTGTGCTCGGGCCACGGCAGACAGAGCGCCCGGGCCCAGGGGGAGTGGGCTCTGGTAGGCGGTGCCCGGGGGCGCCCCAGCATTGGTGTTTCGGAAAAAAATGTCCCATGACTAGAGAGAGAAGGAACACATGTGTTACTCCACCGCTCACCGGGGATCGAGCCCTCGTTTTCGGTCAAAGAGCTCTTCTTGGCAGGCAGGCCGCGCCCTGATCGGGCGACGTCCACCCGCTCCAGCCAGCTGCTTCTGCCCCCACGGGGTGGGTCTCTGCAAGCTCGGCCCACCACCCTCCCCCGCTCCAGACACCCCACGCCAACGCCACAGGCGCCCTTGCATCGCCACCCCAAAGGCCTAGGGAGCCCAGCGGCAGGAAGAGGTCTTTCTGCCCATCTGCCCCCTGACCGCCTGTCCCCTGACACAGCCTCCAGAGCCCAGGCCTGGCCTGGGTCCTCCCCGACACACCAGGAGCCCTGTGCAGAGGCAGCCCAGGCTCAGACTCCTGGGGGAGCCGTGTCTTCTGTGAGGGGCCTGCCCAGTGGCCGGCTCGGTGCTCTCGTCCGCAGGTGCGAGGGAACAGCCTGTGCCCTCCCCGGGTCCGCAGTGAAGAGGGACGCTCGGGGACACAGCGCCTGTGCCGGCCCCGCCCCGCCCGTGTCCACAGGAAGTCCTGCGCTCGACCAGCCCTATAGCACACAGCCTGTGGCAGTAAGGGCTGAGCTGGAGTTACTGTCTCTCTCAAGCTCCCTTGTGCTAATCGAACTAACTCAGTTACTTCTTTTCCTCCTATTTTTGGCTATTCACGTTTGAATGGTTCAATTTGTAATTTAAAAAAATGTTTATTTATTTTGGGAGAGAGAGAGGAGGAGAAGGAGAAAGAGAAGGAGAGAAACATCAATGTGTGGTTGCCTCTTGTGTGCCATCTGCTGGGGACCTGGCCTGCAGCCCCAGCATGTGCCCTGACAGGGAATCAAACCGGCGACCCTTTGGTTCTCAGGCCGGTGCTCAGTCCACTGAGCCGCACCAGCCAGGGTTCAATTTGTAATTTGTATACATACTGGGAACTATAATAGTTTACTCTTCTCATAAAAAGATGTGAATTTAAAAAAATATCCGAGAAACTAAGACTTAATACAATTCCATTGCCAAAGAGGCCCAAACGACTAGAAACTGAAAAGCTGAGAAACGTGGAAACACTGTCTTTCTTCTCGGCCACACATTTTCCAGTTTCCCGTCAACACACTCTGATTAGAAGGGCCTGGAGCGAGCTGTAGCTGGACCCGCGTTGGCCACCAAGACGCCGTGCAGGCACTGCTGGCCGCTGCAGGCAGGCCCCCCAGCGCTGTCCGGGGCACGGGCGTACCCGACCCCAGGGTGCCCGAGGGCCACAGCCTGCAGCGGCCAGCCACGAACTGGAAAACCCGCCGCGGGGAGTGGCGGCCTGCGTGCCTGCCTCACACGGGGCAGCTGGAGTCGCACCACACTGTTCCCGGGGCGCTCTGCGGCGGGACAGGCTCCCCTTGTGCTCGAGAAACAGACTGCTGGGCGACTGTGCAACGTGGCCACCATACTAGGAACCAGACTTTTCCATCTTAATGAAAACTGTGAGTTACATATTTTTTTAAAAATTCTATTTATTTGTTCTTAGAGAGGAGAAGGGAGGGAGAAAGAGAGGGAGAAAAACAGTGTGTGGTTGCCTCTCACATGTCCCCCACTGGGGACCTGGCCTGCAACCGAGGCACATGCCCCGACTGGGAATCGAACCAGCCACCCGTTGGTTTGCAGGCCGGCACTCAGTCCACTGAGCCACACCAGCCAGGGTTGTGAGTGACATCCTAACAGCGATTTAAAAGTGTTTTAACACATCTCACTCTTCAAGGCCTTCCTATTTTGGCCATTGGGTTGCTGGTCAGTGTGTGGGCTCATGGCAGGAGGGAGACCTGGGCTGTTCCAGCAGCCCTGGCCATTGTGAAGCACCGTGAACCAGGTCCCTGACACTGGGCGTCCCTCTGCCCTGGGGAGACCTGGCAACCGGGACCCAGGGCCGTTCTCTCAGCCTCCCCGCGTGGCTACTCCCCCGATCCATGCCCCCCGCCCCGAGCCCTGCTCCACTGTGGGAAGAGGCGGTGTGCCCCAGCGGCAGAAACCGCCTGGCTGCCACTCGGGGAGGCAGAGGCCGCCTCAAGGTCCACTCCCCGGGGCAGGGCGAGGCCTCCATTTAGCCCCCACCGGGTCCGTGACAAGGACACATGAAGTGGTAGAACGGACACCCCAAACATCTCCGACCTCCTGGCGCTTTGACAGCGGGTCCAAGCGAGCTCCCTGCATCTCGAGAGTGGCTTCGGCCCAGGGAGAGCCCCAGCCTCCGTCCAGGCCTCCAGTAACCGAGGGCCCAGCCTCGCATGGCAAGAAGCGACAGCAAGCTGCCCCTGCCACAGAGCTCCTAAGGGACTCTCCTCTGCACCCAAGCGAGCGCCTGTGCCGGCCCCGCCCCGCCCGTGTCCACACGAAGTCCTGCGCTCGACCCTCCCTGGGCCTGCGAGAGGCTCCAGGGCCAGGCACGCCCTGCCCCTCTTTCCAACCCTGCAGCAGGCGGTCTTCTGCCTCACAGCATGCCACAGGTGCGCCCAGAGACACAGCGGCGGTGGCCCAACAGCAAGACCTTGGGCCAAGGTCCCGGCCACACAGCAGCCCATCGACCTGATGGCACCAGCTGCTTGTGGACCCAGAGCCAAAAAGCACAGCAGAAGCCAGAAGTCGTCCTCTCTTCGGAAACACGGGCGTCGAGCAACCGAACAGCATTGGCGGCAACAGAGGCGGGAGCAGCTGTCCAGGCTTGGGGGCCCCTGTGCACCACCTCTGCCCCTGGGCTCCCCAGGGCGTGGGTGAGGGGGCAGGGCCCCTTCCAGCCCAGCCCTGGGAGGGGCGTCACCGTCACAGGGCCACCCCTCCTGACGGGCAGAGGGCGGCAGCACAGAGGGGCCCGCAGAGAGCTGGGCCCGCGGGATAGCACACCTGGGACACGCTCCCTCCGCTCCTGGACCTCACCCCCGCCGAAAGCACGCGCCAGGCCCCCGCCTCACACCTCTGGGCAGCGGGGGTGGGTGCAGGTGCTCAGCTGCACCCTGCCCGCCTGGCCCCCAGGTGAGGAGCCCACCCCATCAGCAGCCCCTGCCCACCATGACCTGGGAGGTCCTCACACTTGGGTAATAGACAGCTCTCGACTGCACACACGTGGCAAAGCCTGTGTGCTGCAACCTCCAGCAGGTAAAATCTGTGCCCCTGGGCTGGGCCGGTGGTGCAGGCCCTTCAAATGTGACACACGAGGGTGTGACCGCTCACCAGCCACGCCGAGAGCCAAGGTGCACAGGCACTGCGGCCACAGCCCGACTTCCGCACCTGCCTGTCCCACAACGAACTCAGGAGGAACCTGTCCCCGTGCCAGGCCCTGATGGCCGACGGCCCGAGGCGGACACTCAGGCCTCTGCTCACAAGAGGTGAGAGGGCTGGTGACCTGCAGGAGGGGGCCCTGCCCAGGGAGGGCACGGGAAGGCACCTGCGGCAGAAGGCCAGCTCCTGTGCCCAGCAGGGCCGCAGAGCCTGCAGCGGTCTCAGCGCCAGAGGACCACCTCCCCGGACGCGCACGCAGGTGACTCGAAGGTGCCGCCCCAGAAACAGCCCCGGGAGCTGCCTCTCTCTGTGCGGCTGCTCTGAGGTTCGGGGACAGGAAGGTCTGCGGTGAGCTCCTCCCTCTCGGGAGCGGCAGGACACGTGTCACTTCAGAGCTGGCGCCAGTGCCAGGAGGGAGTGTGCTTGGAGGAGAGACGCTCCCACAGCCACGTGGGGCCACGTGGGTGGGCTGGTGGAGGCAGGCCCGGAAGGTGGGCTGGGGCCAGGGTGCAGCAGCCGGGCGGTGGGACCTACCATGGAGCTCCTCACCTGCGCCTGGCTGGGGGCTGAGAGGGAGGGGCCTGTGGGCAGCAGCGTGACAGCCTGTCCAGGGCATGGGGTCTGCTGCCCCCTCCAGCGGGTGTGAGGCCGTCAGCTGGTGGTGGGAATGACTCACACCAGAACACGGCAGCTTTCACACGTGAGCGAGGGTGCTGCTGTGGTTGAGATGAAACCAGAATTCTCACTTTAATTTTATGTAACTAAACCACTGAAAGCCGTGAGGCTGTGCTTTCGAAGGCCGCTGCTCCTCCCCTGCCCGCCCGCCCACCGACCTTCCAGAGCCAGGACAGGCTCTCCCTGCAGCCACCGGTGTCCCTCCCTCTGCAGTGTCCTACCGAAGCCGGTCCAACTGCCCCGCCGACTAGAGTCCGGGGGTGGGGGGCGCAGACACCTGCAGAGTTGGGTGCCGTAGTGCCAGCTGGGCGAACCTTGAACGTCCAGAGTCCACAGGCTCCCCACCTGCAGAGAGGTGCTGACCACGGCGGGTGGGGGCTGCTCACCGAGGCTGGAGGACTCGGCCTGTTTACCGCCAGCGGATCTCTGGCGTCTCAGTGCCAGTGCCCGGCTGGGAGCTCACATCAGAGCCTGATGGGTCAAGGGCTTCGGTGTGGGAGGGGAGGCCAGCATGCCCCCAGTGTCCCTCCCTCGTCTCAAAGGCCCCACCGAGTGTGGAGCACGTCAGCCAGCACAAGCAGGTGGCCCGACAGAGCCGCACACACGACCGCGCCCACCACAATGGGCCGGCCCGCCAGCCTGCCGCTGGCTCTGGGGTCTGGGGGCCCCTGCGCTCTCCCGCCAGGTCCCTCACCTATCGAAGCAGGAGCACGGGCTATCCAGGGGGACACCTCACACCTGCACAGCTGCGTACACTTGAAAAAGCACCTGCGAGGCCCTGGCTGGGTGGCTCAGTTGGTTGGAGCGCTGTCCTGTGTGCCAAAAGGTTGTGGGTTCGATCCCTAGTCAGGGCATGTATGGAAAGTAACCAATTGATGTTTCTCTTTCACATCCATCTCTCTCCCTTAAAGAAAAAAAAAAAAAGGTACCTGTAGGGACAAAAAGTTTAACTGACCCTCAGTTACTAATGCTTATTCCAGCTGCCACTCAATCGAGGCCTCTGGGACTCTAGGTTCTGGACGGCCACCGCCACTTCCTCTTGTCTGATGCCACTCCTGTGGCTGCCCTGCTGCCTCCGCCTCAGTTAGGGACCCGCCCCACCTGCCCACAAACACACCCACATCACCTGATGGCCACCCTGGAATGCACCAGACCCCAGGTTCAAAGGCCATGACACTCTGGTTCACGAGGGAAACCACCCACGTCAAGCCGGACACGTCCGGCAAGGAGACACACTCAAGGTGTCGGCACGCATGGTCAGAGCAGCCACGTCTGCAGAGCAGGACCACCCACAGGCTCCTGGGCCAATTCCCCGCTGGGCACCAGGGGGCGGAGCCCACCCCTTGGAAGGCACAATGGAGGCAGGCCCAGACCACGGCGGAGACGGCCGAGCTCCACGCCCCAGAGGGCTGCCCCACGCCACACTGACCTCCCTTGGCACCGGCTGCCAGAGGCCCTGCCCTCCTGTCTGCCCTGCTGCCCACCTGGCCCCAGAGACCATTCCTTGCAGGACGCTGGTGACTCCCTTGCCCACCGAGCCGTCTGCCGGACCTGCAGACCGAGGCTCTGGGACTGGGGTTCGTGAACCCCCATTGATTGCCGTGTGTGTGTGTGTGTGTGTGTGTGTGTGTGTGTGTGTGTGACATTTGTCTTGATTGTTAGAGTGTGAGCAGGATATTAACGTATGCTGCTGTTCTACTCCGAGTGGACCTGCATTCGGTAAGAGCTGAGTGTGCAGCGTGGTTCCCGTGTGCGACTCTCGTCTGCTCCTCGGTGCCGGGCTGCTCTGCCGGCAGCGAGCCGAGAGGCTGCCCGGCCGACTGACAGGAAGGACGGTGTCACAATGGAGCTACGCTTGTGACATCATCTTGAGACAAGGGTTTGGCCAGTTCAGTATAGCCAATGGACAGGCAGTGACCCCTCCAGCCAAGGACGGTCAGAAGCGACTTCCTGGCCAACAGGTGCACACCTTCCCCCCACCGGGACGGGTTCCCGTGCCTGTGGGCCGGCTCACGACCCTGCTGTGCAGGGAAAGGCTGCACCCTCCCCTCACAGAACCTGCGCAAGAGGCTCATGCTTTAGGGCTCGGCACCTCTGGGGACAGCACGCAAGACTCGGAGTGCTGACCTTCTGACCCCCCCTCCCCCTCCCCGAGGATGGGCAGGGCCGCACCCAGAGCACAGCACTGCCCACCGCACCTGGGGGCACTGGGGTCAGGCCCCCTCACTTGCCGCCGACGCAGCAGTTACCGCGGGGGCCCTGCCGGGGTGCGGCTCGGCTGTGGAGACCCAGTGGAGGTACGCCCGATCGGAGCGATGCCGCTGTCCTTCAACCGCAGCAGCCCAGGGAGGGACCAGGGCCAAGCAGCTTCACCGTCTCCCCTGCACAGCGTGCAGAGTGGCCACGAGCTCCAAGGTCAGCAAGGAAAAGCTGCCTCAGCTCTGCCCCGGGACCTGCTGAGGGTGCGGTGCGAGGCACGCCCTGGTCTCTGCCCGAGGCTCAAGGTGGCGGCCCACCCCGCTGGGCTGTCGGAGAAAGGACGAGGCGGCCGCCCCGAGGCCCCGCCGTCCCCATGCCCCGCCCGAACCCCTCCGCACAGGTGGGCCTCACACACGTGCAGGCGTTGTTCCTGCTAAAGCCAGGTATGAACGAGGACCTGGGAGGGGACGGCCAGGTCCCGAAGCCTCAGGGCCGAGCTTATTCCAGAGAAGGGCTTGCAGCAGCTGTCCTCAGGGACCCCGCGCCTCCACCAGCCAAGGCGGGGCTGCCCTCCCCCTCCGGCACTTCCTCTAGGGCTGCACCCCCCTTCCTGCCCAGGGGGCGGCTCCAGGGGGCCTTCTGGGAACCCCGGCCCCACCGGCTCGGCTGGCCGTGGAAGCAGGAAGGACCCGGCTCCACACCCTCCTTGGCTGAGCCATGAGTTCAGAGGAGGCGGCGGCATTTCTGGTGGCTCCTACAGACACACCAATGTACCCCGACCCCAACGCCCTTTGGTGACTCGACCCCAAGGCTCACAGGGAAGGAAAAGGCCGGTGAACAGCGAGGACGTCAGCCTGCCCCGAGCACACCGGGGCCGCCCCTCGCGGCTCCCCTAGCCTGCTCTGCGGTCGACCACCCCCCCGGCCCCGCCCTCCAGCTCCCGCACGGGGCCATTGCTGACCCGAGCACCAGGAGACAGTCATGAAAACCACCCATCTCCACTGGCCACTGCGGTGAGGACGTTCCGCCACGAGGTGTGCCTGCTGCCGGGCCAGCTGTGAGGAGAGAGGCACTCGGAAGGGCACGTCCCCAGGAGACACAGGGACCAGAAGGAAGCCTTCTCGGGGGGCTCTGCCTCTCTACGCAGGAGGAACCCAGGAGCACAGCGCGCTCAGACTCGGACGACGCAGAAGTTCCGCCCGGCGGTCTTGAGGCTCTTAGGACGCGGGGACGCCGGGGCGTCTGGCGGTCGTCTTCCTGCTGGCGTCCTCTCTCCGGTGTCTTCCCCTCCGGCGGCCTTGCCTGCTGAGATTCGAGATTCCGGGAGTGCTGCAGCAGTGTCTCCAGATCCGCTGTCTGTTCCGGAGTGCAAGGCACGGTGGGCGAGCGGGAAAGCCCTCCGGTGAGGGCGGCTCCTGGTGGGCCGGGGCAGCCGCAGAGGACGCGGGTGGCTGGGCTCCCAGCTGCCTGCCTGCCGGCCCAAGGGCTCCTCGGGGCACTTACCTGGATGGCCGGCCTGCATCGGCCACCGCTCCAAACACACACAGACCCGCTCCTGCGAGCCTTACCTTGTGAACACTCTTGGGGTTCTCCAGCCAGGCGTAGTACATCTCCTCCACATAGTTGGAGCTAGTCCCGTTGAGGAAGGGCTCTGCAGCCACGGGGGCAGTGTAGCACCGGACCTGCCCAAACGTCCTCGAGGCTGCTGGTCTGTTTTGGGAAAATGTCTTAACAGTCTGGGAGGCCGTCAACGGCCTCAACTTAGTAGCACAAGTCCTTAAGTGAAACATTGTTGTCCCAGTTTTCCACAACTGCCTGCACAAAAAAACAAAAGAAGAAAAGTCAGAAAGAGCATTTTAGCAGATAAAGCTACCGTGGCAGAAGTACCCGCCGGCTCTGGCCGGAGGAGAAAGGGTCCTACCACTCTTGGCAGGTGTCCTGCTCCGGTCCAGAGGGCACAGCGGAGCGTGAGCACCAGCCCCGGCAGCCTCGGCTCTGGGGCCGGGCTCCCCGGCTGCAGGGGCAGGTCTCCACTCACAAGCTTAAACCTCACTGCAGGGATACAAACTATCACTTGATGTAAAGGTGCAACATCTTTAGGTGCATACATTGTATAAAACAATGAACAACTATAGAAAAGGCAACACGGATTAGTTGATTACAGATTAGATTTGGATTAATTGCAAAATGAGAAAGATATTTTTTAACTCTATCCAGAAACTATGGAGCACCTGCCGTACTCATCCTGATATTCTGGAGAATACAGAGAAATTGGGAAAGATATTCCACAATTTATATTTGAGCAGAAGAAAAAATATTTAAAAACCATCACAGAGAAAGCGCTGAGTGCCTGCGAGGCCCAGGACATGCCAGCTCCCCAGAGGGCTCCCTCTGCGCAGGCCAGAGGCCTCAGCCTGCAGGCGTCCCACAGGAACTCCCGGTGCGGGGCAGGAACCGGGGCTGCACAGGCTCGGAAGGAAACTTGCACACACGTCCACCATCAGTGCCCCCGGGTCGGCGACCTGACATGCCAGGACTCTTCAGGAAGCCCGAAAACTCCCCTCCGTTTCCCAGCTCAGCTTTCTGAGTTTCAGTTTAGGCTTCCTCTAAGGTCACAAGGCCACCAAGAGCAGAGCCAGATTTCCTGACTGCAAAGTCCCCATTCTGCCCGGCCCTTTTGTGATACTATGAACAAACTGGGCTTCCGGGAAGGAAATGGATGGGTAGTCTGTTTGCTTCTGATCCAAATGGACATTGCACTTGACGGTCATTAATACTACTAACTCTAACTTACGACTCTATCAGAAGCACCCATTTTAGCCCTGGTTGGTGTGGCTCAGTGGACTGAGTGCTGCCCTGCAGAGCAAGGGGTCACAGGTTCGATTCCCAGTCAGGGCACAGGCCTGGGCTGCGGGCCAGGTCCCTGGTGGGGGGTGCTCAAGAGGCAACCACACACTGACGTTTCTCTCCCTCTCTTTCTCCCTCCCCCCCCAAAAATAAATAACATCTTTAAAAAGAGTATGTCCAGGAAAGTGCAAGCGAACCTATCAACGCCAAAAAAGTAGACAATATGACACTGTTTGTAACCCACTAATTTCAGGATACAAGTACAAACCTGTACATTCGACAAAAATAAGGTTTAAAAAGTAAATGCCAAAGCAAACTTTGTTTATAAGGGTTTGGGGCCCGGGCCTGAGAGGTAACAGAACCTTATCTGTGCCCGCACCTTCCCCAGCTGGGCGGCACACACTCTGGGCCACCGCCGCACACTCAGCAAGGGGACAGGAGGGACTCCCGGTGCCTGTCAGCGTCCTGCTGGCTGGCGGAGGGCCAACTGAAGAGGCAACGCCAGCGAAAGCAGCCTGGGCACGGCGTCCCAGGAAACGAGCCCTGGAGGGCAAAGTGCGCGCACCGTCAGGTGACTGCACCCCACGCCCGTGCGCTTCCTCAAACAGAAGCTGAGGCAGCAAGGGAGTGAGGGTCACTTCCAAACTGCGGGGCATTCTGCCATGACCACACCGAGAGGACCACTGAGCCGGGGGCTGGCGGGGGGCAGGGGAACAGGCGAGTGACCCCAGCTGGCTGCACGGACCTCACGCGCCTCCCCTGGTCTGCGCCCAGCTCCCTTCACGCTCCTGTCCCCACGGTCTTCCTGGGACCTTGACACCACCCTGAGAGCACCCCCCACGCCCTGGGAGTGTTTCTGTGACAGCAGAATGACAACTCACCAAGAGAAGAGGTCACCCAAAGATGTCTCTTAAACATCCGAATTTCCCACCCTGGCAGGTGCTCAGTGCAATGGGTGCTGGCCTGCGAAGCCACAGGGCTGCTGGTTCGATTCCCAGTCAGCACACATCCCTGGGCTGCAGGCCAGGTCCCCAGTCGGGGGAGTGTGAGAGGCAACTCATCAGTGTGTCTCTCACATGTTGATGTTTTCCTCCCTCTCTCTAAAATAAATAAATAAAATAAAATCTTAAAAATTTTGTGGCACACCAAAAAATGTATTCAAAGAAGTCTGAAGTTCCCCTGTAAACCTAAATGCAAGTTAATTTGGAGTGGGTAGCTGGCCAGACCTCGGAGGGACTCCACGTCCATAGTCAGAGCCCAGACGAGCTTTGTCTGCGGGTCTGCAGGCTGCCCCACCCTCACCCAGGCTGTGCCCACAACAGGGGGGCCCTGGCCACAGTGCTCCCGGGTGCAGGTCCACAGGCCCTTTTCAAGGGTGCCGTTCACAACACAAATCACTAAATCTTTACCGGAAGCAAGGCCATTTACCAACACTCATCAAAATGTTTAAAAGCATAAACAGGACTTCTATTTCCTGCTAAATGCACCTCAAGACACTAGATGCTACATTTAAAACAAAAGACTCAGAGATGGAGAGGAGACAGACTGGGAAGAAGATACTGCACTGGGCTCCTGGTTTTCTTTTTGCTTCACATACCCCAGTCTCGGGGCTGGGGAAGCTGGAGCCCAGCAATGCCAACTACTGTGGACAGAAACGGGCAGCAAGAGCCGGCTTCCCCTCACCAGACACCACACAGCAAACAGGGGCCCGCCCCAGCCCCCTGGTGAGGTCAGTGGAGATCAGGGACTTCCACCCCATGAGGTGACATGAGCCCCCTAACACTGTCAGTGGAGGCCAGGGGCAAAGCCTGGGTTCTACACACCCCCACCCCCCGCCCCCAGCAGACACAGGGCAGCACCCTCTCTTCCCGGGCAGGGTGAAAATACAAAGACCGGACAGAGGACTCACTACACCCACAGAGCAGATACCGAGGAGGCTGGGTGGGGAGCCTGGGTTACACCCTGACGGGCAGGGATGGGCCAGCAGCCCTGCCCCCACCTGCGCCTGAGAGAGACTGCCCTGCTCAGAGACTTAAACGAGATCCAGTCTCCAAGTGTAACGCCCAAATGTCCAGGCTGCAACCAAAGATCACTTACCACATCAAGAACAGAGATGATCTCAAGTGAAACAAAAAAGGGCAATCTACAGACGCCAAGACCAAGTGACACAGACGTCAGGATTATCTGGCAGATTTTAAAAGAGTCAGCTTCAAAATGCTTCCATGAACAACTAGAAACACGCTTAGAACAAAAAGCAAAAAGCCTCAGCAAAGGAACAGAAGATGTGAAGAAGGACGGAACGGGCATTTCGGAACTGAAAAACACAACTAACACAAAACACTTGTGGGTGGGTCAAACCGCAGAACGCAGGAGCACAAGAAAATCAGTGAACGTGGAGCTAGAATAAAAGAAACCATCTGATCTGAACAACAGATAAAAGAGACAGAAAAAAAACGAACAGGGCCCCCGGGACGCGTGGCACGAAAACAGAAGACCTAACGATGACGTGATCTGTCACCTGAACCCCAGGAGCAGCAGAGAGGTGCCACAGAAGCATTCAGGGAAACAACAGCCGAAAACTTTCCAAACCTGACAACGGGAAAAAACCTACAAGTCTAAGAAGCAGGGTAAATCTAAACAGAATGAACCACAAGAAATCCACTCCAAGACACAAGGTAAACAAACTTCTGAAAACTCCAGACAATTTGAACAGCACACTCATCAGAGACCGTGGAGGCCAAGGGGAAGTGACCCGGCACCGTCAAGTGCTGAAGGGAAGTAACTGTCCACCCAGAACCGTACGTCCAGCACAAACACCCGTCAGAAGGGAAGGGGAATGGGAGCACTCTCAGATGATCCAAGAGGAGAACCAAGAGGCTCTGCTGCCAGTAGACTGGCCCTCAGTGACCAGCGAAAGGAAGTTCTCTGAACATTAGGAGACAGTGAAAGGAATTTTGCAACACCATGAAGAAAGGACAACAGAGATAACAGAGGCTGAATAAATATAATTTCTTCGTCCTCTTGAGTCTTCCAAATTACATGGGATGCTTGAAGCAAAAATTACAACATGCCTGATATAGTTTCATTATTTATTTATTTATTTAAGATTTTATTGGTTTATTTTCAGACAGAGGGGAAGGGAGGGAGAAAGAGGGAGAGAAACATCAATGTGCAGTTGCCTCTCACATGCCCCCTATTAGGGGGCTGGCCCACAACCCAGGCGAGTGCCCTGACTGGGAATTGAACTGGCGACCCTTTGGTTTGCAGGCCAGTGCTCCATCCACTGAACCACAGCAGCCAGAACCTGATGTGGTTTTAGATGCACGTAGAGAAAGTAGTTGAGACAAGTGTCGATGGGGGAGGGTAAAGGGATGCGCACAGAGGTAGGGCTCCTACACTTCACTCGGACTGATAAAATGATGGTATCAGTGGGCTGTGGTAAGTGTACACACTTACATAATGTAATACTTAGCCCCTAAAAACTATACAAAGAGATATACTTGAAAACACTACATATCAATAAATGAGGAATTTCAAAAACAATGTTCAAGTAACCTACAAGAAGTCAGGAAACAGAAAACAAAATAGAAAATAGAGGATAAAAGGGCAGATGTAAGTCCTGACACAACAATAATTGCATCAAATGTAGATGATCTAAATACACCAATTAGATGACAGGTTGGCAGAGTGAATAAACAGGCCCCAGCTGTGTGCTCGTCTGTAAGAAGTTCACTTCACATACAACGATTCCGCCCTGGCCAGGCAGCTCCGTTGTTAGAGCATCGTCCTGATGCATCGAGGCTGTGGGCTCGGTCTCCAGTGAGGGCACATGCAAGAAGCAACCAATGCATGCATAGATAAGTGGAACTAATCAATCTCTCTCAAATCAATAAAAGTTACAGAAATCAGGGCTCTACTACCAGATAAAGCAGACACTAGAGCAAAGGAAGCCTCCGTATTTCGCTGTGTGTGACGCGGATCCCTGTTTTTTTGCTCAAACTTTCAGTTAAAAAAATCTTTCGCTTTTATTTTTAAATTCAATTATTTATTTATATTTAGAAAGAAAACCAATTATCATATTTCAGGGTATTATTTTGCATACGGATATCGTTATTGCTTTCTAGAGTTACGCTTCTAATGTATAAGCATGATAAAAGAATTAAAAACATATAGATACGGAATTAGTGCTGCCCACGTACAATGGGCATCTTTATTTTTTCCTCAAAAATTTGGGCAAAAAAGTGTGCATTAAACACAGCAAAATATGGTACCAGAGAGAGCCGTTACCTAATGCCAAAAGGTCGATCCACCACAAAGACATAGCAATCATAAATGTGCGTGTGCCAAACATCATATTGCAAAGCATGCAAATCACACTAATAAAAGTAAAAGGAGTAAAAGACAAACCCACAATTATATTTAGAGACTTTAACTCCCTCTTTCAACTAGACATAAGATCAGCAAGGATACAGAACTCAGTAAAAGTACAAACTACCACACTCACCCAATTTGCAACACATAAGTTTGTAACCCCACAATTATTTAAAAACTTTTAATTTGTAATTAAAAAGCCTCTGTAAAAGTAAGTTCCAGGTCCAGATGGTTACACTGGGGAATCCTACCAAACGTCTACAGGTGCATCACCTCCAGGTCTGCACATCTCTTCCAGAAAACATAAGAGGAGGGGACACTTACCAATTCATCTCATGAAGCCAACATTTCTCTGAGACTAAACCCAAAGACAGTACAAAACAAAACAAAACAAAAAAACAGCTTTAAACCAATATCCCTCATGCATGCAGATAAAAAATGCTTAATAAAACACAGCAAAGAGGACTGAGCAACACATAAGTACAGTTACACACAGTGACCTAACGGGGTTTATTTCACATCTGCAAGGCTGGTTCAACACTCATCCCCCCAAACAAAAGGCAATGTAACTTACCATATCGACAGACTAAAGAACAAAAAGCACATAATCTTATCAACAAGTGAAGATAAAGCACCTGACAAAATTCAAAACCCATTCACGTTAAAAACTCACAGAAAATAGCCAGGAGAGAACCTCAACTTAACAGAAAACGTCCCCAAAGCCGACAATTAACATCACACTTACTGGTGACAGACCGACTGCCTCTTTCTAAACCAGGAGCCACGCAAGTCCGCGCACTCTCACCCCTGCTGTTGCACTCAGCCCGGGAAGTCGTGCCTCCCGGGGCCGGGGCCGCAAGACAAGAGGAGGGACTAACAGGCTTTCCGATCTGCAGACCAGGGCGGTGAGAAGTGAACCGCTCCTGTCTGCAGATGGCATGGTCGTCTGTGCACGAAACCTCCAGCATCTCACACACACACACACACACACACACAGACACACACACACTGAACCAGTGAGCGGATTCAGCAGAGTCACAGGATACAAGATAAACATAGAGAAACCTACTGTATTTCCATATACTATCAACGAATACGTGAAAACCAACATTTTAAAAAAGGGAATACTTAGTGTAAGTCTAACAAAACTCGTGCAGAACTGTATGCCAACTACAAAACACCAATGAGAGAAGTGAAAAAATCTACATAAATGGAGAGACAGCCTGTGTTCTAGATTGGAAGACTGAACAAAGATGCTGAGTGTCTCCAAACTGATCAAAATCCTAGTGAGACTTTTTGTAGATTTAGGTAAAATTATCCTAAAATTTATATGAGAAAGCCAAGGAATGAAATTAGCAAAAAACAACTTGAAGGAGGATAACATGTGATGACTCAATCCACCTGATGCGGAGACTCACCGTGCAGCTGCACAACCAGGTGTGGTGCTGAGGATGGGACCCAGGGAGGGACCGAGGGTCGAACAGAGAACCGGGAGGCAGACCTGTGCACTCCAGGCACGGCCGACTGCTGACCAAAGTGCAAAAGCAACTCAATGGAGGAAGAACAGTCTTTCCAATAAAGGGTGCTAGCTAATATCTATAGGCAAAGAAAAAGAAAATGAAAGAAGAAACCCTTCAATCTAGATTTTACATCTTACATTGAAATGAATTCAAAGTGGGTCATAGATTTAAACGTACAACACAGGCTATGCAACTTTTAGTAAAACACAGAAAATCTCGAGGAACTAGAGCCAGGCAAAGAGTTCTGAGGTGTGACACTAGAGAACAATCCGTAATTGACAAACTGATAAACTGACTTCATCAAAATTACAGACTTTTGCTCTGCAAAAGATCCTGTTAAGGAAACGAGGAATCAGGCTACAGACTAGGAGAAAATGCTAGCAAATCACTACCCAAGACAAGGCTAGTATCTAGACCATGTAAGGAATTCTCAAAACTCAACATTAAAAAAAAAAGGCAAGCAAACAATCCAATTACAACATGGGCAAAAGATATGAACAGGCATTTCAATATACAGATGGCAAGTAAGCACATGAAATTTTTAATATCACTAGCCATCAGGGAAATACAAATGAAAACCACAGTGAGGCATCACTCCACATGTATGAGAATGGCCAAAATGAAAAATAACATCACTAAATGCTGGCAAGGATGTGGAGAAAGTGGATCACAAACACACTGTTGGTGGTAATGTAAAATGGTACGGCCACTCTGGAAAACACTTCAGCTATTTCTTTAAAAATGAAACATGCACCTACCACATGACGCGTGGGCTGCACTCCTGGGCATTTGTCCCAGGGAATGAAAACTGATATTCACATAAACGCCTGTGTATGCGTTTGCCGAGCCTCATTCAAAACAGCCGTAGAATGAAATCCACCCAGGCGTCTTCGAATGTGTGAACAGTGACATCAGCTGTGGCACACCCGCAGCCAGGAGGCATTAAGGGGCAACCAACTACGGATACAGGCAACAGCCTACCCACATGACCCTTCAGAGAACTGTGCTGCATGGCAAAAGCCAACCCCGAAAGGCTACATACTGTATGATTCTCTTTATATAACACTCTTGACATGCCAAAATTACAGAAATGAAGAACAGATTAGCACTTGCCAGGAACTGGGTCTGGAGGCAGGAGAGAAGAGGATGTGGCTATAAAAAGGCAACAGGAAGGACCCTTACGGTGCTGGAATTGTTCTGCATCTTGACTGTTATCAATGTCAGTATCTGCTGGTGACACAGTACTACAAGTTTTGCAAAATGTTACCGCCGACAGAAACTGGGTAAAGGGACGCTGGGAGCTTTCTATGCTATTTGTTATAACTGCGTATGGTAGATTTGTATGCACAATCTCAAAACTGTAGGTCTTAAACTAAGCTGTTAAGGCCAGAAAAAAAAAAAAAGAGTAGATGAATGTGGACAGTGGTCTCGAAAAGATAATCAGGATGCCCTGATCTTTCTCCAGCTCCCCAAGAGTCAGTCTTCAGCTAGAACATACTGCCTATTTCCACCTAGGGAAGGTCTGCACCACAATCTGTGGCCTGTCACGGTGCAGACAGCGCTTCCTCCCAGGGCACTCGTCCTGGAGCTGCTCGGAGACCTGTGCTGGAGGTGGGTCTCCGGTACCTGCTGCAAAGCGCGGGGCGGCAACACGAGGCACCTGGAGCTCCGAGCCCTTTCCTCTCTTCCGGGCGCAGGGCAGGTGGCAGGTTCTTGTCTACTCAGCCACACAGTTTTATACCAAATTTCGATACAAAATTACACTTAGGTCAAGTAGGTGTGCAAAAGGGAAAAGGTCCATGAATAGGGTCTTCCTCCAGGAAGTGCACTTCGTCTCATCAGCAAAGGCTATCAAATCTCCTGAAGGATGAGGACATAGGGTCACCTGTTCAAGGTCATCACCCCAGCAGCTCGAGGGGAGCAAGACGAACAAGGTGGACTACGGAGCCGGGAGTCCTGTGTGTATGTGTGTGTGTGTGTGTAGGGGGGTATTTCTGCGGTGTGATAGGCTCACCAAGGGCGTCGGCCCAGGAGCGAAGGGGTAAGGACGGGCGGGGTACTGAGCAGGGTAAGTACTGATTGCGGGGAGCACCGAGTGAGGTGCGGCTCCACGCACGTGGGCTGCCGCAGAGTAACCCGCTCAAGGGCGTCGCCCGGGTAGGGCACGGACAACCCGGACTGGAGCGAACCCCGCACCGCGCCCTGGGAGGCGGAGCCCAGGGCCCGCAGCCCGCAGCCGCTTCAAGGGCGCGCCGTCGATCAGTTCCTCCCGGCGCGCAGAGGACACTGCTGGGCGGCCCCACGTGACGCCTCCTCGACCTTGGGGGTCACCCCGGCGACTGTGCCCGTACCCTCACATCCGCCGCGCGCCCCGCCCCCCGCCCGCCACAGCCAATGGCACGCCGCTCCGCGCCCCGCGCGACCTCTGCGCGCGCCCGCACCCGCCAATCTCCGCCCGCCAGGAGGCGCCCGCGGCGCCACTGGCTACCGCGTCCGTCCGTCAGACCCCTGTCCCGCCCACCCTCCCGTCAGCCCCGCTCCATCCAGCTTCACTCCCTGTCACCGCAGCGCCGGCAACAACAAGGGTGAGGCGGCCTCATCCTCCACCGCGGCTCCCGTGCCCTGCCTGACAGGCACGGAGCCTCCACACGGAACCGGGCCCGGCGACAGCGCGCGCCTACCTGTCTGCGGCTCAGCTCCACCCGAATGAAGCGCCGACACCCCACTCCGGGGAACCAAACTCTCGGCCCCGCCCAGGCGTGTGGCGTCAGCACGTAGCCCGGCGTCGGGAGTGTCCCCCGCCGCGTGGGCGGGGCAGTGACGTCACAGAGTTGTGCCGCCGAGGTCTATGGCGCCGTCCTGGCAGCGTCCGGGCCAGCGCGGAGGTCTCGGCGGCGGGGGTGGGGATGACCTTGGGTCCGTGGGGCAGGTCCGGGCTCGAGTCTGGAAAGGGATCTGCGCGAGACCAGGCGTGGGGTGCCTGAGGCTGTGAGGAGAGTTGAGGAGGTCGGGCGGAAAGGCGCCTCGATCAGCGGCAGACTGGGAAGCGGGAGGCCCCGGCGCGCCCCCTTCGTGGAGCCGTCGTGGACTCGAGGGTTTCCCAAATGGACAGCGGGATAGGTGCCCGGCGCCGCGGCCTTTGGCCGGTGCGAGGGGTCATTGGCTTTTAGACGTTATTTTACTTATTGCTAAGAAAGAAAAAACGCTGTTACTAGGACGCCTCGTAGATCTTAAGATGCAGCCCTACTTCAAAATGCGAAAGTGTAGGGAAAATATTGTATCAATTTAAATACGGTGAATGATGGTCACTCACGTAGTGAGGAAGTCAGTCCCCTGCAGCAAGGAAAAAGCCTCATTTCATGCTAACGTGCCTGCAGCTTCACTCTTTTTCTTCTTTCCTTTTTATTTATTTATTTTTTTTTATTTTGAGAGTACGTTATTAAAGCTGGGGACAGTGAAACGGAGAAGGGCCAAGGACAGAAGCAGCAGCAGGGGAGAGACTAGGCAGGGCTGCTTTGGCTGCCTGAGAAATAAAAGTCGCAGTGACAGAGGTGAGCCAGTGCAGGGCTGCTATTGGCTCACTGAACAGTCAGAAGGGAAAAAAAAATAAACTCTGGGGGCCTTGGAGACAGGTTCGAGGGGTGAGCCGGGGGTGAGCCGCCGCTGCCCATTGGTCTGGTGGGGACGCTTTGAGTTTTCGAGATGCACGCCTGGGAGGGCTGGAGGACCAGACGCCTGTAACCCTGCTGGACAAGGAGACACGTTAGGCAGGCTCGGGACTTAAACTGGGGCTAGAACTTAAACTGCTTTGTCTTTCTGATCTGTGAGTTTCTCTTTGATGTTTATAGCAAGTGGTACTGGCTTTCCTCCTTGCAGTACTGATAGTTTTAATTTTTTTTTTAAATTGATCTTTAGAGAAGGAGAGGAAGGGAGAGAGAAACATCGATTTCTTGTCCCAGTTAATGATGCATTCATTGTTTCTTGTATGTGTCCTGCCTGGGGGCCCAAACTGCAACCTCAGCGTATGGGACGGAGCTCTAAGCAACTGAGCTACCTGGCCAGGGCAGGATAGTTTCTTTGTAATAAATGGTTCCAATGAAAGACTATGTTAACCAGGTATTAGTATGGGAGGGTGGCATCCAAACAGCTGATATTAGGGAACGCTGTTTCACACTGCCCCGAATTGTTCTGTGTATGTGCCAGACAACTTCCTGGACTGTGCCGGGCGGTAGAGCAGAGCATGCTGGGATGACGAGGGCAGTGATCTCACCAAGATAGTGGCGCAGAGGACACAACCGAGTCTGGGCTGGAATTCAGACTCGAGACTGTGTCGCCCACTCCCGGCTGTGATATGGGCTTAGAGCGATTCCTAAATTCCTAGAAGGGAAAGGCAAAGTAAGAGGGGTTTTGTTTTTGAGTAAGAGTGCTGTATAAATGCTTGCGAGAACAAGGTTGGGCTGCTGTGTGGGATGAGGATCGAGAGACCCGGAGAAGGTGAAGGAACGAGGAACAACTGCAGCGTGTTGTTTTCTTTTTCCCTTTAAAAAAAAAACTGTGATAAAATATATGCGAAAAATATTCATTGCCATGGCTGGTGTGGCTCAGTAGACAGCACGGGCCTGTGGACCCGAAGGTCACCGGTTTGATTCCCGGTCAGGGCACATGCCTGGGTTGTCGGCCAAGTCTCCATTTGGGGGGGTGTGAGAGGCAAATGATCCATGTTCCGCACATCAGTGTGTCTCCCTGTCTTTCTCCCTCCCACCTCTCTAAAAATAAATAAAACATCAAAAAAATTCTCATTAAAGTGTACAATTTGGCATTGATTACATTCATGATGTCGCACAACCATCACTGCTATTTCTAAAACTTTTTCACGGGTCCAAATAGAAACTAACCATTAAGCAATAACTTCCTTTTCTCCACCCCTCTCCCTTCTCCCTGTACTTTCTGTCTCTGTAAATTGACAGCTCTGGGTACCTCATGCAAGTGAATTCATACAGTATTTGTCCTTGTATGTGTCACTATTCAGCACATTTCAAGGTTCATCCATTTTGTAGCATGTGTCAGATTTTTGTGGCTGATAGATTACATTGTACAGACAGGTCGCACCTGGTCTGTCCATCAGCTGCTGACATTTAGGTTGTTTCCACCTTTCGGCTACTGTGATTAATGCTACAATGACCATTGGCTTCTGAGTATGTGTCGAGTGCTTGTTTATGATTCTCTTTATAATACCTGGGAGTGACTCGGTGAGTCACACAGTAATTGTATGTGCAGCTTTTTGAGGAAGTGCCCAACTGTCTCCCGCAGTGGTCATGCCCTGTTGCGTCCCCACCAGCACTGCATGAAGCTTCCCATTCCTCCACCTCCTCAGTACTTTTTAAGAATTTGTTATAGCCATTCTCGTAGGGGGGAGGTAATCTCATTTTGGTTTTGTTTTGCATTTCCTTATTTCTAATGTCAAGAATGTTTTCATTTCCTTATTGGCTATCTTTATATCTTTGGAGGAAAGTTTATTTAAGTCTTTTTTTTCCTTTTTTTTTATTCTGGTCTTTTTTGAATTGGGTTGTTTGTCGTATATAGTTGGAGGACTTTATATATTCTGGATATTAATTCCTTACAAGATATATGATTTATAAATAGTTTCATTCTTTTCACTTTATTTGTAATATTTGATGAACAAAAATTTTAAACTCGAAGTCCATTTTATCCATGTTTGTTATTGTTGCTCACATATCTAACAATCTATTGCCAAATCAGAGATCACGAAGATTAACTCATGTTTTTTCTAGGAGCTTTATGTTTTAGCTTTTATCTTTAGGTTGTTTACCCATTTTGAGTTTATTTTTTGAGTTGATTTTTTAGTATGATGTGTGTTAGGGGTCGGACTTTGTCTTTTTGCACCAGGAACTCCAGGAGTCCCAGCGTCACCTGGTGGAAGACGATTGTTTCCGCATTGAATGAACTTGGCACCCTTTAAAAAATCATTGTATGTTGCATTTATTTCTGGACTCTAGATTCTCCCGTTGGTCTGCGTGCTGTCTTTATGCCAGCACCACAGGGTTTTGATCACTGTAGCTCGGTAGTAAGTTTTGAAATACAGAAGTGAATTTTCCAACTTTGTTCTTTTTCAAGATTGTTTTGGCTATATTAATCCCCTCACAAATTCATATAAATTTACGGTTTGGGTTTTCCACTTTGGCAAAAAAGGCTGTAGGAGTTTTGATAGGGATTGTGTTGAATCTGTAGATTGCTTTGGGTAGCATTTACATCTTAACAATATTAAGTCTTCCAGACCATGAACATGGGATGTTTTCCATTTATTGTTGACTCAATTTCTTTCAGCAGTGTTTTGTACTGTTTGGTGTACGCGTCTTCTTCCTTGGTCAAGTTGTTCCTAGGTGTTTTACTCGAGTGGGACTGCTCTCCCGACTTCCTCCTCCTGTCGTTCATTACTGGTTGTTGTGCACTGATCTCTGTCCCTCGGCCTCACTGAATTTATTACCTCTCATACCTTTCTTGTGGGTTCTTTGGGGTTTCCCATATGTAGGATCATGGAATGTAAATAAAGATAGTTTTTTCCCTTCCCTGTTTGGGTGTCTTTTTTTCTTGCTGAACTGCCCCGGCTAGAACTTCCAGTACTGGGTGAAGTGGAAGTGGTGAGAGTGGGCACCCTTGTTTTGTTCCTGATCTTAGAGAAATGTTTCAGACTTTACCATTGAGTATGTTTGCTTTGGGATTTTCATAGATATTGTTTACTATGTTGAGAAAGTTCCTTTCCATTCCTCATTTTTTACATGTTTTTGAGATGAAGGGAGGAAGGATTTTAAGTGCCTGTTCTTCATCAGTTGAGTTAATCATTTTTTTCCCTTTTGTTCTATTATTGTGGTATATTGCATTGATTGATTTTCTATGGCGAACCATTTGTCCCTTGCATTCCTGGGACAAATCCCGCTTGATCATGGTGCATAATCATTTAGATATGCTGTTGGATTTGGTTTCCTAGTATTTTGTTCAGAAGTTCTGTATCCATGTTTATGAGAGATATTGGTCTAATTTTCTTGTGACGTCTTTGGCTCTAGTTTCAGTGCTGCACTGGCCTCACAGGATGGGTTAGGAGGTGTTCCCTCCTCTTCAGGTTGTTGGTAGAGCTTCAGTAGCATTGGTGTTAATTTTTCTTTAAATGTTTGCTAGAATTCACCGGTTGAATTCTAGCAAACCATCCATTCCATACCAATTTTGGTTCTTGTTATGTTCAGGTAATTTGTGTGTTTTTAGGAATTTATCCATTTCATCTAAGTTATCTTATTTGTTGGCATGCCATTGTTCATAGTATTCTCTTAGGTTTTTTTAATTACTGTAAGGTCAGTAATAATGTTTACTTTCATTTCTGCTTTAGTGATTTATGGTGTTTTTTCTGTCAGCCTAGCTAAAGGTTTTGTTGATTTTTTTAAAGGTTTTATTTATTTATTAGAGAGAGAGAGAGGGAGGAGAGGTAGAGAAACATCAATGTGTGGTTGCCTCTCACATGCCCCCTACTGGGGACCTGACCTGGACTGCAACCCAGGCATGTGCCCTGACTGGGAACCAAACTGGTGACCCTTTGGTTCACAGGCCAGCACTCAATCCACTGAGCCACACCAGCCAGGGCTTGTTGATTTTTTCAGAGAACCAAATTTACTTCCATTGACTTGTTTTTCCATTGTTTCATTTATCTCTAATTTTTATTCATTCCTTTCTTCCAGCTTTGGGTTTAGTTTGCTTTAAAAAATTTTTTTTGGTCCTTCAAAATGTAAAGTTTGGTTACTGATACCCTTTTAAAAAG